TGGTGCATTTTCTGCCACCTGGATGTGATGACAAAAACAAAAAAACAAACCAATATGCAGATGAACCTGTTTTCGACGAGGAATTTCCTCACAGGTAAGCCTCAGAGACGGATCCCTTCTTGCAACCTGACACTAAGCAACCATAGCCTCAGGTATATATTAACATGCCACAATTATACGTCTGTCTCCGCCTGTTTTGCGGTATAGAAAAGCGACAAGCTACGTTGTTGGAATTAAAACACAAAAACAAAAACGTTGTTATTAAAGAGCCCCGCGGTGCTGCTACGTCAGTTCAAGCTAACACATCTCTCTCTCCGTCACTTCAATACAAACAGGAGCGCAAAAGCTGGACTGTCGCTACTTACTTTCGTCGTTAAAACGCGTGTGGTCGAATAAAAACCACCCTCCACGGCGTTATTGCGGGTTTTAAGGCGGCCAGGTGAGGAGAGGTGAGCGGAGACACCGGAGCGACTGAATCACTCTCCCCGGCGCACCGAGCTGCTCTGGGAAGCTAGCTTCGTGTTCGGAGACCAACCGGTGAAACTCGTCAAAGGGTTAGGGGAGGGGTAGCTAGCTGGAATTTAAACACATGATTTTGAGTATGCCCTAAAGTGTGACTACACATCACAGAGTGGCATGTTTTACATATCATTAGCATGAAAGTACTCACATGTTCCCAGCGCCGCCTCCAGACCAATGTGAAACGTACTTCAGTGTAGACTGCAGGCCTCTCGGTGAAATCTCATCCTCTCTCAGCTGATGACCACAAATCCTCAAGAAAAGAAAAAAAAAAAAAAAAGCAGGTCCCCCTCTGGACTGTATTATCTCTATGGAAAGTAGAGAACCTCCCCCCCGGACACAAACCCCCCCGCCTAGGTTTTGGTGAACCGGATGGAGTGGATAAACAGGTCATAGCAGGTGTATGAAACCCTCTCCCTGGTCCCTCCCATACAGCCTCAGTCCTCTCCTGTGTCTCCACCTGTGAAATTGCTGGTTGTAAATTCTAAATGTCAAGTGAAAAGACTTGTGCAATCCCTTATTAGGGAGCTCTTTTGCCTCCACAGGAAGGGTCAGAGGTCAGCTATAGGGGACTACAGAAGCTTCCACCTCTGTACATTAGATTATCAGTTCAAAGTTTGGACACACCTGCTCAATCAGTGTTTTATTCTTTATTTTTTTAAAACCGTTTTCTACATTCTAGAACAATACTAAATATGGCCGATCAGGCAATCTAAATATAATTGAAATCACAGCATCCAAATTGCAGGAGCTGCAATCTTGGATTAAGGTAAAACTGTGTCCTCTTAAATCATGTTCTCCAGACATAAGGGGAAAACGGTTGTTTGGTGCTGAACGCAGTAAAAATCCCATTTATCTGTTTTATATTTGAAGAGTTTATTTGCAAAAACATGTAATTCCATAGCACTGTTGCCTCGCAGCAAGAAGGTTGCCGGTTCGCATCCCGGTGAGGACACCCGGGATCTTTCTGCGTGGAGTTTGCATGTTCTCCCCGTGCAGCATGGGTTCTCTCCGGGTTCTCCGGCTTCCTCCCACACAGTCCAAAAACATGCTGAGGTTAATTGGTGATTCTAAATTGTCCGTAAGTGTGAATGTGCTTGGTTGTCTGTCTCTAAGTGTAAACCTGTGATAGACTGGTGACCTGTCCAGGGTGTCCCCTGCCTTCGCCCTAAGTCGGCTGGGATAGACTCCAGCCCCCCCGCGACCCTAATGAGGATTAAGCGGTGTATAGATAATGGATGGATGGATGGATGTAATTCGATTTTTGTAGATTTTCAGAAAACTTATTTTTTTGTTGTTTGCTTTGCTGAAATAATATCAAACTGAAGCTGAGCGGATTTGACTCAGTAGAAATGACATGACAAAAATAGAGATAACTTAAGTTTGATTAATATTGTCTCAGGTAGACGATGGAAAAGAGGGTTTTCCGAATGTTTGTGAAGATGGAGTTATCTGTTTTTGCAAATAAACTCTTTATTTGTTTCAGTGGAAAAGAGATGCAAGAATGAGCATTCCGCCTCTCAAACTGTCGCTCATATCGTTGTCTTATCCGTCTAAATAATTGCAATCGGAGAGATACATAGATAGTTGGGATGCACGATATATCGGCAACCAAATCTGTATTGGCCGACATTAGTGTTTTTTCCCCCAATATATCGGTATCAGTTCGATGAACAAATTTAGTGGAAAATCGGTTTTTGTCTGACATTAACGCCTTCGTCTCTACATTTCATATTGCTGCTATTTCACAGATGTTTTTACTTAAATGGTCCTGGACTTGAATGTTAAATATGTTTAAATATGTTTTACTTTTGTTATGTAATAAAGAAGACTGTGGTCTAATTTGATATGGGCTTCTTTTGAATAGTTTTCACATTCTGACAGTGCTTGCTTATACTCATTTTGGGGTGTGAACAACAATTGAATATCGACATTGGTTATCACGATATCATCCATCCATTATCTATACACTGCCTAATCCTTGCTGCACAGGGAGAACATGCAAACTCCACGCAGAAAGATCCCGGGTGTCCTCACCAGGACATGACTGGTGACCTTCTTGCTGCGAGGCAACTATGCTAACCACTGCGCCACCTTGCAGCTATCACAATATCAGAAATTTTAATATCAGATATCGGCCAGAAATTTTAATATCGTGCATCACTAATAGATAGATAGATAGATAGATAGATAGATAGATAGATAGATAGATAGATAGATAGATAGATAGATAGATAGATACATAGATACATAGATAGATACATAGATAGATACATAGATGCAGTATTTTATTAACCCCAAAAGGGAAACTGCAGTTTTACAGCAGCTGCTTGACTTGAATCATAAAAACAATGAGGTAGATAAATAACAAACTATGCTATTAAAGGCTAAGCTTCTGTGTAATAACTAAACAGAGTATAAAGTAAAGCACAAATATAACTAATAGAAAATTGGATCAAAAGATAGACTTAGCTGGACCCATATCTATACAGTGTGCAGAGTGCATGCCGTACAAAAGTCTGAATAAAACATACTGTGATACACTGCCAGAACAAGGTCAGAATGTTTATCTGACATATAGCAGATGCCATAGTACTAGATATAAAAAGTCCACAGAGAATAATGTTCTGTCCAAAGAAGATCAAGCTATGAACTAATAGGCAGCACATAGAAATACTCCATAAGATACATAAAGCATCACATGTGGGTGTAAGTGTTTACCTGTAAGTAAGTTTTGACTCATCATCTTGCTGTAAAACCAATGATGGTCCCTTTAACTGCGAACCCGATTGGATGGAGTGCTGCTGCAGAACACTGTGGTAGTCATGGTGGTTAAATGTTGCCTTGAATTTAGAATAAATATCCCACAGTATCCCACCACCACCACCATCACACCTTTTTCCATCTTTCGTGATGAAAACTACACATGCAGACGGCCTCCATTCACCGTCTCTGTCTCACAAGTGGAACCATCATTCTGAAACTCACCCTCTGATGTTCATTTCTTGCGTTTCGTCCTCAATCCATTTTTTCTCCTCATTGCTCTCCCACAGAAATGTTTTTTCTTTGCAGCAATGTGACCGCGGTGGCCTAATTCGTGCCGTCCCCCCCTGACAGTTGATTCTGAGCTGTGACTGGAATTTGAAGTCATTAATGTATGCTCTAATCTGAGGTGCTTGTAATTGGCTACTTCTGAACATTTGATGGTTTTTGTAACTGCAATTAAAGAAACTTTCAGTGTTCTTGAACTTGTTTTTTTTTTTTTTTTTTTATCAGACTGACTAACCTCCATGTCATATATTCATGATGGACAATCGTTTCTCTTTGATTTGTCGTGTCATACTATTAAGTAGTCGAATAGTACAGCTGCCCCTAAAGACAGCACATACGTTCGTAAAAGAAAATTATGGGAATTGTCCTGCAGTTCTAGAAATGCAGCAAGCACCAAATCAGGTACAAAAGGTGCTTCACAGACTTTTAAGGAAACTTGTTCTATTGAATCTGGAGAAGCAACATGCATGAAAACACACATATGGCAAAAAGAAAAAAACGTTACCTGCAGTACTCTGAGCAACCAGTGGGGTCGATTTGGATGAGCAGCAATGGGCCATTAAATATTGATACTGTGTCATTTTAAAGTGTTTTTTGAGATTTGTTCAGGCAGAAATATTTGAAAAAAAAGTTTGAAATTTATATATATATATGTATATGAAATGTTTTATTTTTAGGATTCAGGATAACAGGTGTATTTGTTTTTGCCTGCACTGACCGCCTGTTTACTGATAGTTGCTGTTTTTTTCTTTCTTTACAGCTGTCAGACCCAGCGTCTTTTCATGAGGCTTTCTGTTTAAACTCATAAAAGTCCTTGAACCCCGCCCAGATTCAGTCCACAACTGTGTTTACGCTCCATTACCACACCTGCCTGTCCACCTCATGTAGGCTCACCTCTTCCCTTTTCACAAACTGTACACGCCTACAAATAGCCTATTGTCTGCAATGTAGACAGGGATGCAATGTAGCAAAAGCTGATATTCAAGTAGGCTGTTGTAAAGTCTTTCTTGAGTACTTTGCTTTTCTACTTCAATGCATATTAGTAGGAAATGTACTTTTGGCTGCACTACATGAATTTAGCAGCTATACTCACTTTAAAATTGTACAAACCACACCCAGAATAAGTGGTGTTAAAGATTTAACTACCCAAATTATTTCACATTGGCCCTCTCTCTCGATAAGGTGCAATATTCAATATTCAAACTCTGCTTACACATTACTGGAGTAGTCTCAAATCATATAATAGATGCTGACACAACCTTGATGAAGTCTATCCTGCTGCAAAACAATTGTTTTAACATTTAAGTCTTACTTGCGGATCATTTCTTTAAGTACAATTTTAAATGTATGAGTTCTTCCACTGCTGATGTTAGATCACACTGTGTTCAGACACGCTCTTTGCCATCCCACGTGAAAATAATGACACAAGATTCAGGTGTTAACCTGAGTATTTATTGTTGTTGTTATTGTTGTTTTTTTGGCGGGTACCTGTGTTTTCTTAATGGATGCTGGAAAACCCATCCGTTGATTTTTGCATAGGTCTTGCCTGTCAGTGGATGACTGTCCACTTTGGGGATGGAAAATCAGTACGTCACAAAAACCATGCAGAAATAGTGAAAGGCACAATCACCATAGATATCAGATACACCAAATTTTATGTCTATATATTTCATTTTATGGGGTGGGGGGTGTACTAATTGAGATGTAACATGGGTGAAACCCCAAGTGTTTTATAAGCTGCCATAATTTTAGGGCACAACATAAAACATATGAAACTCCCCAGACATTCAACGCTTTTCATTTAAAACATCCTATTGTTGAACAACTTCTCTAATAACTATATGGGAAAATACAAGCATATTCTATTGTATTTTTTATAATACATTTCCTTTCTTTTATCTGTTTTTTTTTTTTTTTTTTTTTAAATATATAAGCTATTTGTCTCCTGCCTCATTCGGTCCCCGTCCACATCCCTCACATCACATCAGCCTCGACACATTGGGTGACCACTCCCTCTTCCCAATTTTGGACGACTTCCACTTTTAAAACCACACCATTCAATAATCACACACAACATACTGAAATAACGTTTCCTTTTCACATGACACTAGTGAGAAAGGAAAGAAATAAAAATGAGGAAAACAGGTTTGCAGCGGCAGAGGTATCTGTAGTAAATTTTGAACACACACACATTCACCTGTGAACTCTCATTATTACCCTGTTTTTGCTCTGTACATACTTTTTTTTTAATAACAGGCAAGCAGAATTCTACATCCGAGGCACAGTCAGTCAGAATAGTAAGCCCCTGGAGAGTGTGGAAGCCTAAACAGAGATCACCAAGTGTTTATGTGTGTGTGCACACTAGACTCACCACCTCAGATACATTCCCTACACTAGAGGAATAGACAGGATACATCATAGTTATCTTTAAAACGAACAAACAAACAAACAAAAAAGATAATAATCATAATCATTTGATAAATTAACATGTTTTGAACAAAACAGAGTCATTTATAAGATTATTGGCAGAAATGAAAAGCGTGTGGTATTCAAGGAAAACTGATTTATCTTACTTCTTTAGTTGATCTAAACAAGACAAGACATTTCCATTTTCCAAACAATCGAAAATAAATCCAGAGACTCTCAATCTGTCTTTTAAACACACCAGTGCAGACGTATTCAAAACACATCATTGTACTGTATCCTCATCAGCAGTCACACAGCAAGCGCTGCACTGAGTGGACCCTCCGGAGGGCAGTGTTTGCCTATGGCACGTCAACTCTGAGTCTAGTGCTGTTTTTATGGTGCATCTCGCCAAGATGAGACTGAAGCTGGGGCAAAGATGCCACTTTTGGCCACTGAAAATGCCCTCTTGGTTTGAAAATGAGCACAGAGGTGAGGCAGAGAGTGGATTCTCATCAGTCCCACTGGACACAATGTTGTGGACTTAAGTCCTGAGAGGCTTTGACATCTAACGGAGCATCATAAATTGTTTTGTAATATTTACAAGAGAAATAAATGACCGATATTCGTGTTATTCTTTTAAAGAGTTTCTATCATTTTAACGTGTCAGTACACCTTCTCACACACAGTCTGGATCAAAACGAAAAGAAAAATAAAATATCACAAAAGAAAAACAGAAAAAAAACAAAACAAACAAGCACACTGCACACCGCTAAAACTTTGACTCACAAAATGTATGACAGTGCAAACTTACATCCATGTCTCAAATAATTTACAAACATTAGTATACACTTCAGCACCATTGTTTACTATTGTTGTTGAATACATATCAGTAAGCTAGTGGACACTGTTAGAGCTGGATGTGCTAATAAGAAATAGACAGACGGTAATGGAGTAGATGTCAGCAATGTGTTGCTCGTCCATGAGCAAGATGATAGTTGTTCAAAGTATTGGATGTGGGGGAAGATGCTTGTTGTTAGGCTTTAAGGAAATATTTGTTCCCCTTCCTCCTAACAGTTGTGGGACATTTTTTGTTATGGACTGATACACAAGTCGAGCCTACTTTTTTGGTGTTCACATGGATAACGAAAGATCACAGCACACACTATGGATAAGCATGACTGTTGTGTGCTGGGCACAATACTTCAGTTTATAGACCACGCAATTAACGATCATCATGCTCTTTGTGATCCATGGGGAGAATTTGTTGACTTTAAAAGCCTAATGTGTACTTTCTCTTCATCTGACAGGAAATGGACTTGATTTTCTCTCTTGGTGGAGCAATGCAAAGTTCGACTGTAAAAATAATGTCACAACTTATGAGATAAAATGAGCAAAAATCAATTTAACAAAACAAAATAAAGAGTGTCCATCGATACCGCTCTGCACTTACCATAACCTGCCATACCCTGTAACCCAACAGAGAGCCCTGTACTATTTCACTGCCGTCTTATCTTTGGCAGTGATTTTATCATTGTTTATAACATCTATCTTCATGATTGAAAAAAATATAAATATTCTAAATGCTCTCTGATGAAGTTTGGTGTTAATTTTTGGAAAACACATTCACAGGCTGCTCAGAGGGTTACATTACACTTTCTTATGGCCACTTATTGTTAACCACATCCCTTTGAATACTATCTTGTTCTAATTCATCATGTTTTTCCTTTTACTCTTTAGTCTGTTTTGCTCACACTCTCACCATCTTCTACTTGCTCTTGACCTTCACAGAGTAAGAAGAGAGAGGAGTCTCACAACTCTAGTTTCCTCTGGTGAAACTAGTTGCTTCATGTTTCCTTGACTTTGTTTTACACTTTCTATGTTGGTAAACCACACTGAAGAGAAACAAATGTCTAGCTATGTTCCTCTCACTCTTGTCACACACGGTAGTTTCTTCCTCCTCTTCTGAACAAAGATAAAATTATATTTTGATAAAATCCCCTTTAAGATAAAGCTTTGAAGACATGATGAGCTGTTTTTGCTGTAAAGCTGCTAATGCTTAACTTGTCTCTGTCTTGCATTGTTTCCACCAGAAAAAAAAAACTGTTCCTCCAGTCAGAGTGAAGTACACTTGACTACTTCATTTTCAATTTATTGTCTCCAAAATCAACAAAGTAAAATGGAGATTTATTGGGTTAATTAACTAAAAAAAAAAAAAAAAAAAACATGCCTTGAGGGAGAGTGCAAGAATAAGAAAATGTTACTAAGATAGGACAGAAAATTAATATTATTCAACTTTTAGTTGTTTTTCAGACATTATTATTACTACGTATAACCTGTATAAATATTTTTGAAGACTTTTTTTTTGTTGTTTGGATACTGCAATGGACAATAAGTATAATAAATGTCTACACAGATCTACTCAGAGGGCTTGGTTCATAACAGCAGTATGGGGCATCAAACTACCAGGTGACGTTGGTTTGTGGCCAAACCAAAACAAAAAAGCAACTGGTCTACAGGTATCTGAGTGTAATATGATATAATGTGCAGAGATGGAAGCAAATATGCTGCGAGTGAATATATCTAATCATGTGTGTCTTGGGTTGACTATGTACTACTAATGCCCTCAGAGTAAACAATGCCCCCTGTTGCTGGGGAGTTTAGTGGCAGAAGTTACGCTTGCTGGGCTGATGGAGGAAGGTGTTTCTGGCGTGAGCTGCGTGGCGGGGAACCTGCTCCCTGGTGCGGTTTTGGCGTTGAATGCGGTTGCGGCCCAGATGGCGCCGCTCGATGCGGGCTTTGCTACGCTGGACTCTGGCCACTTGGGTGACCTTGGCCAGAGCTCCAGCCTGGGCAGCTGCTCCACGGGTCACCCTGGTGGGCATAGTGCTGCGAGTAGCGGGGGCAGCGGCTGGCTCAGGCACTCTGCTGCAAGTGGAGAGAGAAACATAGTGGGATTTTAGATAGTTATGATGATGCTGACAAAGCAGATGAAGGTCAAGTGAGTGTAAGCATAAATAGTTCTCACCTCACGCTGCTCGCCAGGCTGACAATGCTCTCCTCTCCCACCACAGACAGGTTGCTGTTGGACACCATGGACAGGTTGTTTGGGGAGACGTACACAGACATGCTGGGGTGCTCTATGAGCAGGTCCTCCATCGGGCTGGCCTCTGCTGTGGCTCCCTCTGCAGTGAAACAGGGGGGAGGGGTGACAAACCAGCTCTCATCCATGCAGCCTCTCTCTGAGCCTGCCCTACTGCTACCCCCACTGCCCCCAAACTCACTCCCAGAGCCTGGGGACATTGACGGGGTGGAGGAGGGCGTGGACAGTCTGGCCCGTCTTGGCAGGGTTACGGGTGTAGTGGCACCCAAGTCAGATGGACTAGTGCTAGGACAAGACAGGGGGTCTGATGATGCTGCTGCTGCTGCCCCCAGTGCCCGACCTTTATGTGTCCTACGACGCTTGTGAGGTGGGTGGGGAACGAGAGCCGGGCATTCAGTCCTTGTGTGTGTGTCTTGATCATTAGATTGGTTACTGTCTGGGAATGATTGTGCAGTCGGTGGTGTTCCCGTCTCATCTTCTACCTGCATCATGCGGTCAGATTCTTCTGAGCACATGGCAGAGATGAGATCGGGGATGGGACGGCCAATAAAGACAGATGTTTCAGACGGGAAGGGAATGTTGCAAAAATTATGGAAATGTGGCAGATTTTTCAAAAAGCCATGCGGGTCAAAGGGGATAATTTTAAAGGGATCACATACGCACGCGCACACATACCAGTGTGGGAAATGTAGGGGTATTTTAAAAATTGGAGGAAGGGAAGAAGAGGGGGTAAGGAAACACAAAACATAAAAGAGTCACATCATTAGTTGTGTTGACCCTCTAAGGTTGTGATTATGTCAGTGACATAATTGGCTTGACTTTGCTGAGAGGTACTTTTATGTTATGTTGTTTGGAAAGCAAATTTTCAGTTATTGTCTTTGTCATGATCGAGATCATAAACAAAGTGGAGGAGATGCACAGCATGTTCACAGATAATTATGTGTCTCCATCATTCGGCGGACAACATCTTTGGCACGGCAGCATTATGGATGTGCACCAGTGCAGTTGCGCCACGCCCTGACTGATTCTTCACCCTACCCCATCACCCCCATCGTTACCACTACACCTCTACGGCTAGTTCACCATCATAGACATGCAGGAGAGAAAACAGATATTTCCCACCACATAAAACACAATTTGACTATTTCCCACTTTGGCGTGGCTATAAAATGACACACCAGCCCTCTTTGACTCACCAGGCAGGTTGACGAGCATCCATCCTTCCTCATCTGCCTCCGTCACACATGGGTTGGGTCCCTTCAGCTCAGCTGCCACCTCTTCTACCTCTCCAAACAACAGGTTGCTAAGACGCTGAAACATGGCTGCTTGTTGTGTCAAGTGTTGATGACTCTGGTGCTTTTTGTTGTCCACAAAGAAAAAGCTGTAGCTGCCTTTTTGAATTTCTTGTTTCTATCACTTGTTGCTGTTTTACGCTGCTTTTTTTTTTTTTTGTCTTATTTTTCTGAGTTTTTTTTTTCTTTTTTTCCCCTTGAAGCCTCTTGCTGGATCTTGGTTTTAAGAAACAGGAGTGGACAGGCTTCTATAGTGCAAATTTAAGGTTTCACTTGGTTTGGAGCAAAGGCCTGGGGAGAGAAAGAGAGAGAGAGAGAGAAACAAATTGGATGATTAGTTGTAATAGAAAACAAAAAACATAAGGTGCGGCACTGTCAATACACCTTTTCTCTAGAAGGACACCTAAAAAGAGAAGTCACTTATTAGGTTAATTTCCAATTTGTTAGAGTTGAGTGGGTAATGTATGTGTGGCAAGAGCTCATTTCAAGACAGATTACAACGATTTAGAGCAATTATTTAGTTTAAACTCAAACTTGTATCGTAATGGCAGATGGGAACAATTTAGCATCAAGAACAGAAGCTCTTTTTTCCACACAAAATTGCTGGACAACTAGTATAAAGTAGTTTTTGGAATTGGAACTGTTATGGTAAACTTGAATTTAAAAAAAAAATCCAACAATGTTCACAATCTATAAGCTAATTTTCTCAGTTTGTAATTTGGTGCGTTGCAGATATGTGTAAAACCAGTTTATAGCCTTTTTACTAAAACAGCTGCTGGTTCCATCTTGAAGTGACACGAGTTAAAGTGAATTTAAAAAACTAAAAACAATACAATGAAGTTGCTGAAACGCTCCACAGAGCTGAGTAAAAATGCAATGCCAGCTGAAGACATAGTCATTAAATCCACTGTTAATATAAAAATATTGATTTGAGCAGCTTCATATCTTCATGATGATGCAGTTTTCAGTTTTTTTAAAATTGTCAGACAGCTGAGCACATATAGGATGGTAATACTGAAAAAAGTGGCTATTGAGTAAACATTAGACTTTTACTGGATGGTATCTGTCGGCCACATAATCACATAACGATCATCTACACTGTAAAATACATCAATAGAGTCACACTGAGCTACAGTTTGTGGTAATAAATCACTGAGCTACAATACATGAGGAATGAGTGTTTAATGAAAAAAAGAAATGAACTAGAAAGCAGAGGAGCTAGTGGGCAATGACTAGATTAGATCAAGATATCCAATCAGCACAGTCTCAGGACAGATGGACAGGCCAGAGATAAGGAGGAGGAAGTTAAAGGATACAAAGAGCCAGACTCTCCCAAAATCAAACAAAGTGAGAGTGCACATGTTAAAAAGCAAAGACAGACACGACAAAAGGTGCTTAGGCGAAAGACAAGTGCCTGACCTAAATGTGAGCATGATGACGTAACCTTCACCAGATGTTTGTGCAGTCATAGCTTACAGGACAAACTCCTAAATGTTCAAAGTGTTTTGTTGACTTAAACTATGTGAGTGAAAGAATGACAGAGAGTTCACAGAGTGCAAACACCACTGTCAATGCCTCTACTACCTGCTGACACACTTTGAAATACCTCCAGGTTACATAGATGTATTCCCAAATGTGTTTATTTTTGCATCGGTTTATACTAGTTTCAAAGTTGTACAGGTTTAATTTCAGATCATAACCTATTTCAGTCCGTAATCTATTCCATCCACGGCCTGATTTCAACCTGAAAGTCTCATGGACTCCAACAGGTGATGCTGATTCTCAACTATTTCTCCAAATAAAAGAGTAGACCAAGAAATGACAGAGCGTTGGAATAATGAATGCACGTGGAATGAGGTGAAACAGAGTGTGAGTGATGGGGATTTAAAAGCGGAGTGGTGGAAGCAGATATGCATGGATGCTTGTTGGGAAGCTGACACTTTCTGTCCTTATTTGGAGAATCATCACAGTGACTAGGAAGATAAAGGGAAGAACTATTAGCAATCCTACAGATCATGCTCCTGGGATTTCTTATTTTCAGGGGAAATTATAATCATTTGAACAAACTTGCTAAGGAGTGCTTGCATGGGTGTATGCTTGAAATAATAAGAGACAAATGAAGTGAGACAGAAAGTGGGACAAAAAGCCAAAAATGGGTGAAGCCTTTTCCTTAAAATTCACAGCGATCCCATTGGATAGCAGGCCCTCAGCTGTATTTTGTTAATGCTTTAGGCTGCATGAATTCATCCTGACTTACTTTCTAGGTCACGCGTTAGAAATTGTTTTCAGTCGGCTACATAATGGTTGTTATATTTTGCAGATTTTGGAGGAGAAGTTACCACGAATGCTGCAGTGCACACTCAACACTGAGACTGCTTTAATGCATTCTTGGACTAACAGAAACTTAAGTCATGAGACCATGACAAATAAATTGAGATAAACAACATTTTTGTGAGAAGGCCTCAGGGTTGCTTTGCATAAGGCATCCACAAAAGACGCACACACTCGACTGCATGCAGCACTTCCTTGATAAAACTAATTTTTTATCAGTTTGGTGATAGTACAGACTAATTCAGGGCTATCTGACTGGTGCAAATATAACTACTGATAATACCTAAAGAGCACAAATATCACTGACATGACACTGATATGACCTATATCCTGGAGATGAAAGTTCCTTTTGTGTAAACGTTATCAGAGCTACATGTTTGCAGCACTGAATGCTGTTTGATGTTAAATATCTTACATGGGAGAGAGTTGCGAGATAGTGGTAGTATCTGTTGTCCTGTTTGCATGATGTCTTGGTCAGTCCTGTGCAATTCTTCCCTTACACATTCTCTATTAGTATGATGCGATGTGTTGTTCTATTCTGTTTTAGGATGCATTTTTAAGATCTGACCAGGGATAACAGGTGGAATTTAACCATCAAGGGATTATCCATTAACACATTACTCAGGTCCTGGGTAAATTACACTGGTTCTGCATTCAGCACCGAATTAAATTTAAGATTCTTCTGACTGCTCTTAAATTTCTACGTGGTCTGGTTCCACTTAGAGCTGTTAACCCCTTATTCTGCACCGAGACCCCCCAGATCAGAGACTCAGCTACTGTTACACAGTCAGAAAAGCTCAGTCAGTTCCTCAATTCAAAAAGCCATTGAAAACCCACCAGTACAGACAGGCATTTGTACATTTTTCCACATTTCCTCCATTTTATCAGGATTTGTTCTTACCCTTTTTAATGTTTCTTTTTCTTACATAATGTTTTGTTGTTCTTACAAACGCTTTATCTCAGGCTCATTTATAGCTGATTTTGATTACATGCTAACAACACAAAATCTAAGCAAAAGAGGGGCAACATCTTTAACAAGATTAAACCTAAAATTCAAGAAGATATGGCACACAAGTGCAGCAGAGGGCAATATTCCGATTCTCATAGGTTTAATATGGGGCATTTATTTTACAGTTTACGGTCGCAACTGCACATACTGAAGTATTTAAAAAAATGTTTAATGTTGAAGATCTGTCTTTTGACACTGATCTTTTTTTAAAAGTAGGAGGAGGAGAGAGGAGAGGAGAGGGGTGGGAGGGATCCGAAATAAAAACAAGACGCCCGTGACGTCGTGACACGTCACTGACGCTGACGAAGAGGCTCGAGCCTGTTTTGCGACCGGAGGAGGAAAAAAAAAAGAGATCTGACCAGCAAACAGCGAAAAATACAAGATCTTATGACCGTGCATTTGCACTCTACGTGGCTTTTCATTTCTAATCTACATTTTGCAACACTAGTCCGAAAACAATCCATATATGAATGGCTGCTATTGTCGATGGTTATCGTCTGGAGTCCTCCTGAAAAAAAAGAAAGAAAGAAAAAAGAAATACTGCCCAAAGCAGCAGCAGTGTTTACATTTCAAATACATAGAGATAGCCTGGATTTTTTTGAATTATTTTTTAGAAATACAAAACAACACGATCAGATCGTCGACAGCCGAGAGAAGACACGACTTTCAGCGCAGTGTATCCAGGTTAAACATGAATTATCCGTGTAAGCTCTACAGCTGAAGGGTCAAAGCAATGACAATTGTGGCTCAGCGACACTGCACGAAACACATCGACTGGATGGGCTGGTGGTAATACAAGGAAAAGGCTTTTCTCGGGATAATATGAGGTCCTATATTTGCAACAAAAATATCCTGAAAGGTCCGCCCGCCACACAAAAAAAAACATCAACATCCGCCATCGACTCCACATCAGCATTTGGTGCAATTTGCAAAACAGCTGCTGGCGTCCTATATAGCTCAACAGACTGGTGTCATTTTACGAAATATAGGACGTCGAAACGGCCTAATTACGACATTTGGTTTGGGCAACTATGCTGTTTTCAGTCTATCTAATCGTGACCTAGTAATAGGTCATTGCATATGATGACACAAAGCAGTCAGAAATAGCCTACAAAAGGAGTCAGTGACAGACAAAGCGATGCAATTCGGTAATAATGCATGATCTATGATTTCATGATGACAGATATTTTCCATGGATAGCCTCAACATATAAGGAATGCGGCAGGTTCAGTGGCAAAGATGTAGTTTGATACCTCTTTAAGACACAGTTGGACACAAAACACACCGACTGTTAGATTCAAAGCAAAATAAAGAACAGCTTACCTGCCTTTGCAGTGTTATTCAAGTTGTAAACGAGATCTCACACACAGTAGAAACGACAACTCTTAAAGCATAGCTTTAGATAGCCTTTATGTGAGGTAGTTAAAACACCATTATACAAAAATAAAAGGCTTTCTTCTTAGAAGAAGGGGCTTCGTGTAAAAATGTTACACTGATGTTTTCAGATCATAACATCTGCAGCTTTTTTTCCTTCTTCCTCCTCTCCTCTATTTTTTTCGCTGCAGATTTTCTTCTGTTTATTGCTGCCTCCAGCTGATCCTCGGATCAGAATGTAGAACGTACAAAACAGCTGATTGTGAGATCACAATACTCCGGGCCACGCCCCTCGACCCGCCCACACCGAGCACGGCAGCCAATCAGAATATTACACCCGCCACAGGCCGGGCCTCTAGGTAACAGGGTGGGGGCAGGGCAAGGCGAGCTGTCAACCTGCGCCCAGATGGAAATGGTGACTTCACTCAGAAGCTGATCCGTGATCAGCTCCCACTTCCAACATCCCTGTTGTTGCAGAGCAGGCCTGGGGGGATGGTAAACTGACCCCGAGTCTGTGCTCACATAGCCCCACACACAGGTCATCTACAACAAGCAAAGATCTGTTGACAGCAAAAATGATTAAACTGTCAACCTACATGAATCCAGCCACAGAAAGAAGAGCTGAAGCTGTTGCAGCAGACCTGTTATATCATCACCTGAGTGGACTCTGGAGCAAAGCTGCAGCACATTTGTCTCTGTGCTGTCCAAAAATATCCTGTAAATATTTAACAAATATTTAAAATGCATTATTGTCATTTTAGTTTTTGTATTTTAATCAGGTGCTGAATGCTGTCCAACAGGACACTGGGTAGCCAAATCTGCTTTGCTTATTTTCCTGTCATGACATAACATTAATTAGTTACTAAAGCAAATGCTGATGTCAACCTAAAATATTAAAATTATAAATAGTGCAGACTTGTCTTCATTGCTCAGTGTTGCCTGTGTTACTTAAAATTTTATTTGTAAATAGACCTCATTCCCCTCCCCCTCAATATCATTCTTTTCACTCCGCCTTAGTGGGAAGATCCTCTGCCTGCTTTTCAACTCATACCAGCCAATCATATTTCCCTTCTTCTGAATGCAGCATTTGAGTAACCAATGAGCTTTCTCGAGGCTTTGAAAACCCCTGGTGGTCACTTATGCATCCTGCAGTCTGCAAAGCTTTGAGAATGTACACTTCCTTTTATTGTTGCAGATTGTGCAAACTGGTTCACATAAGTGTGCCTGTGTTTCTGCATGTATACGTCTCTAGGTGAAGGGTCATCCTGCCTTGTGTTTTATTAAAGTCTTTGCAGCAGTATGCATTAACCCAGAGGGTGTGAAGCTCACTTGTGTTGGCAACATACATGCTTATATCCACAAATGTGTGCATGCACCTGCAGGACTTGTTGTGGGAGGAGAATTCATTCCAGGGCACTATTTGTTGCCGAATTAACGCCAAAGTCGTGCTACCTCAAATGGCTTTCAGTATCTTTGAGGAGCTTACTTAGATGACACAAAACTGGCCAGGTCACCCACATAGTCAGTGCACATTACTCCATACTGTGCACAGGTTTAGGATTCCAATCGCCTCCTTGCCAACTGGAACTCAGTCCAACAAGAGATATCATAATAATCTTTACAAGTGGAATTCTGTCAAAAATGAGAGTGATCCAGTAGTTGGCCAGTAGAAGCCATGCCTACACTGTAATAAATCACCATAAAAATACTGCCAAATTCCAACAGTAGTGAACGGTTTTTTCCAGAATACATTTAAAAACTGTAAAATTTGATGCCTTTTGAAAGCCAGAAACAAAAATGACACTTAATAGCAGGTTTCTGTAAAAACTGATGGCATGAACTGAACAAAAAATTCTACAAAAAAAAAGACACAAAATGACAAAAATAAAAAAACAGACACAAAGTAACACAAATGAGAGCTACATTAAAAAAAGATTCAAAAAATGTTGAAAAGACACAAAAAGCAACTGAAAGGAGACACAAACTAGTTACAAAATGACAGTAGCAAGATACAAAACAAGAAAAATGTAACCAAAAGGGACAAAACCATGAAGATAGAACACAAAAGAAACACATGACAAAAACAAGATGACAGAAAGAACACAAAAGAAAAAAGAAGACACAAAATGACAAAAACAAGATACAAAACTACAGTTACATCGAATGCTGAGTACAGCGGCAATACAACATAAATACAGAATATTAGTGGAAAGTCTAATTACTGTATTAAACAGTACACCTCATATTCTATTGTAGTGTCATCAGTTATACAGTACATAACCGTTTAGGTAAATGACAAAAGTAACACTATAAAAACTACTGTAAAGTAGTTTCAAACAGAGTTGCCAGAATTATTTATTTTTCACTGTACGGTATGTAGAACAGTCGTCCTCAAATGTATTCATACCCTTCAATTAAAGAAAAGGCAAAATTCACAATAGTCACTCAAATAACTAGAAACTGAAAAAAGTAATAATAAATTTTAAAAAAAAAAGCTAAATTATAATTTAGTGAAATAAGCATTGCTTTTGAATTGTGGTTGAAAAGAATAATTCAAAAACAACAACAACCCATCCCGGACAGATTAGCGCACTTTGCTGATGAGCAGTGAGCCAAAATCAAAATACCTGTCAACAGGTGCAGAAGTCTGATTGAGAGTTACAGAAAACACTTGATTGCAGTGATTGCCATAAAGGGTTGTTCAACAAAAATATTAGTTTACAGGTCCCATCATGCTTGTTTACTTGCTTTTTTTAATTTCTGTTGAGCCACAATTCAAAAGCACGAGTTTTATTACATTTTTATTTATTACGTTTGTCAATTTCAACTTATTTCAGTGACAGCTGTTTTTTTTTCCTTCTTTAATGGGAGGTTATGAATACATTTGAGGACGACTGTCTGTTCATTTATCATTGTTATCAGGGCAAGCATTTATTCTCTAGTCACACTTGGTTAAAAATGATATTCTACTCCTGGAGACCCTCTTCAAGGACAAGGCAACTTTTATTCTAATGTACTTATAAATACAAATGGAAAGATTGTGCATTTGCTTCACCGAATACAATAAGACATGTTTTGTTTGTGTCAAAGTTTATTAGTCAAGCCCCAGTCAAAAAGATAGTTATAGTGATGACGCAGCATCTACAGTATGTTCTGATTATGTCACATCAGAAACCAATGTGCTTTCTTTTATTTTGTGTACATCTGACTGGTATCAACTGATTTTGACCTAAAGTGTCCTCATATGTTTCACAACACATGTTAATGTGAATAATCAAACCAGGCGGTGTGGCTCGATATCTTAAATGCAAACTGACAACAAATGAACCACACCTAGCAGTCTCCAGACGCCTATGTCTCACGCAGATTTATTAGTAAGCTGGTTTCTCTGCTTCAGACTTTGTCACGCCGTTGCCACACCGACTAGGGACGATAACGAAGAGTTCATTGTGAGCTGTCTGAAGTGAGGATGATAAGGTTTCGGCCTATACAGTTACCAGGTGCTAGGCAACTCACGCAGACACACACCAGCACACAGCGGTGGTGATGATATCCAAACCCCAGTGACACAGTGAACACAAACACTTAGCAAGAACAGTTTGTGCATCTGTGCTTGTGTTAATGTTTGTGTTCTTAAACTAATCAGAAGAAGTCACAGGACCTGGTAGGACTTGTTATGTCATGTCCTTGAAGCATGCCCAGCCATGCTGCTAGCTGCGGTGCACAACAGATACAGTACATTTTATGATATTTGTAGCAACGTTCCTGTAACGAATGTGAGCTCACACAGCTCACAAGTAACTCAAATTTGCTCAAGGACGCAGAAAGAGAAGAGGTTATGGTTTTCCACTGTCTGCCTCTTTTTTTTTTCCCCCTGTTCCTTTATCCCTGCTGGAGCTTTCACTGAAGTTGCCTGGATTCCCACAGTTTCCCAAGCTGGTTGGAGAAATAGGTGAAAGGCCACGGCAGTCTCTCTCGCTCTCTCTCTCTCTCTCTCTCCCTCCCTGCCTGTGTTCATGTTCATGAATGTGACATGCAGCTCTTGTTTAACAGCATGCCTGTCCTTGCCCCGGCTGACACAGCTATGAGTCGGACCCAGGCATCAATCAAACCTTGTGTTGTAAACACAGCTGTTTCGTTAAAGACCGAGGCGTGGCGATGGACAGGTTGACTCAGCTGACTCAGAGGTCCAGCTCGTTGTGTGGCGACGCCTGACGCACACAGCAAAACAACTTCCTAAACGAGACAGAACAGATCCTGACGGGATGGACAAGAATGACTGTTGTTGTGGCTCTGTGTGAAACGTGAAAAGGAAGTGTAAATATGTGTTCTCCCTTCTGCAGGGTTGACAACATGGTAGTGAACATGTATTGTTTAGTTGAATAAAAGGAGTCTAATCTAAATCTCATTAACATGACTTTCTGAATTATGTCAAAACATTCTGGTTTTCGTTTCAACATGACGATGTTCACCCCAGTGCACTCTGCAGGCCTTATTTTTGGGGCCTCACTCTCCTCTCATCTCAGGCCTCTCTGCCCCTGCATTGCTGGCTGCAGGCTGATGATAAGACAGTAGCCCCTGAAGATACAAGGTTGCTGCTGCTCCCTGTGTTGCCACAGCAATGCAACAACACACATACAATTGAAGTTTACATACACTGTATAAAAAGACATATAACCTTTTCGTTTTTTTTTTTCTCACATTCTGACATTAAATCAGACTAAACTTTTCCTGTTTTAGGTCAGTTAGCTTTACCAAAATTATTTCTATTTGCTCAATGCCAGAATAATTAGAAAGAGATTTTTTTTTAGAGAATCTTTTAGTCATTTCTTCATAGGTTTCCATACACTAAGATGACTATGCCTTCAAACTATTTGCGAAAGCCCAGATGATGATTTCATGGCTTTAGAGGCTTTTATTAGGTTAATTGACAACATCTGAGTTACGTGGAGGCACACATGTGGATATATTTTAAGACACACCTCAAACACACTGCTTCCTTTTGTGACAACATGGGGAAATCTAAAGAAATCAGCCAAGATATCAGGAAGAGAATTGTGGACCTCCACAAGTCTGGTTCATCCTTGGGTTCAATTTCCTGATGCCTGAAGGTCCCACGTTCATCTGTTCAAACAATTATATGCAAGTATAAACACCATGGGAATGTCCAGCCATCATACTGGTCAGGAAGGAGACGGGATCTGTGTCCCAGAGATGAAGTGTTT